GGTAGTTATCATACCTGCAAGGAATCCTATTAAAAGGGCCAAGAAAGCAGGCGGGAGGAATCGATCAACTCCAAGACGACTAGTTCGGGTAGTTTTCTGAAATACTGTCTGATTTTGTGAATCTAAGCTAGTGGACCAACCAACTTTTCCTTTCGATGAGGTATTTCTGTTGCTTAAATCATCATCCTGTGACTCCTAACTTCGCCATGAATCGTATCCCTTAGTAGATAGTGTATGCTAGGAAATGAGTTAAATATGTTTCGGAAATAACCTTTGCAAGAGGTTACTTTGAAGCTGTACGTTGCAACGGGATAATATGACAGTTGCAAGCAATTAATGACTATGGCAAAAAATAGCTTCGTACGAAAGTGAAATTACGTGGTCAAATTTCAAATTAAGGGCACATGAGTTGAGGTACTGTAGAACATAAAAAAATATGACTGTTGAAAAAGGGTCCTCAGTTACCGGTATCCGGAGAAGGCAGGAGATGTAGAGTGCGCAGGGCAGCACTATCCAAGCGAACGAAATTCTTCAGCGAAAAACGCGAGACGGTGAAAGTGTTTGTCATACTATCGTTGGATTTCAACTGAAATAATTTTAAAAAGTGATGCTCAGCTTCAAGCAACTCGCGAAGATTGTGATTGTGCTCTTTAAAAGTGTGCAAAACCACTATTCAAGACCAAATAATGGTAAAGTTTTGCCAAAAAACCACCACTAGTGGTGAAAACAGGACCAAAAAAGAATTTTATCGAAACCAGAACAGTCACCTACTCGGAGAAAGTTTACGATGGCGCCTAGACAGCAAAAGGCTTCCGAGAGCTCCGATTCTGAAAGAAAGATCAGGAAGACAATATACGAATTCACAATATCAAATTAGTTTTTTTTTTCAATAGTTCGTCCTCTGGTCAATTCATTTACACAAATAATCCGATATGCAGAACCGATATGACGCGTCCTTCAATCGGTGTAGTGCTAAACTGCACAGCAGCGTTGACCGAATTGTTGAGGACTATGGGTGAGGAAGGCTTTTTGTGTCCTCAGTGATAAATGAAAAAGTTATGTTGACAAGGAATGCAGATAATACATGACAAATGTACGCTGACAACTTACTATGCCGAAGCAGGTGATGCACAGAAGACGGCCCGTCAGACTTTTCGGGCTTTACCAGCAAATCCAGATCCTCTGAAGCATCAGTGAAATCGTCCTCTGCAAGGTAAGCAAAAAGTGTCTGAGGCGCAAATCCATCGAGGGGTAGTTCTGAAAATGTTTTTTAATTCGGAGAAGAGAAGCGACATCTAAAATTGCAATGTCAACCATATTGGGTGCGCAGAAGTTGAACTCCACTGCCTCACTCGGAGTAGGGTTTTAAGCATTTCCATGGTTTCCGGATGATAGAACGACGAAGTCATGTTACGCACAAAATAAAAAACAATATAACAAGGTTAAGTGAATATGATCTTCGAAACACAAACTATCAGTATTGCCATTAAAGTGAACTGGTGGATTCTGCATTTGCAGCAAACGTAACGATATGGAACTGTAGCAGAGGATGACTAATAAAAGATGGAAAATTTTCTGCTATTGCGAATGACTATGGATGAAACATCCAAAAATATGTTCGTCCAAAAATAACAACAGAGTTTGCAACGTCATGACACCCAAAGTTAAGTGTTTGTTAAAGGAATGATAGGCGCAAATGGACCGCAGGATTTCATCGCTTCACTCAAGGTTTTTAATAAGCAACTGAACATGTGAACCTTAAACGCTTTACTTTCAAACCAAGTGAAAAATAAGCTGCAGTCGCGTTAAAGACATAGAAAGTAGACCTTAAGGTTTGGTCAATAACTTAGCAACAAGCATGGCTAAAAATAAAAGCACGTACTCTTCTTAAGTTCCGTCACGAGGACGTTGGACCTCTCAAGAACAAGCTGCAAGAATGGTAAGGACTTGACCTTTGGACACTGGCTGGAGTTTGTCTGGTTCAAATCTGGCGCCAAAAGACCAGTCGGTACCAAACACTCGCGAGCACCCAGTTGGAGGATGGCTGCTTCGAGGTTTGGTAACAGAGGTGTGTCGACAAACTCGCCCACGACCAGGGCATGATCTTCCAAATTGCAGAAGGCTAATGATACGTTCTGAAAGGGAGAAAAATGCAGGGGTACAAATTTGTGGAATAAGCAAATAGACTAACAAAGAAATTCAACTGCATTATGATAACTTGCGACCATACTCACTTTAACTGGCCCCGACGAAGATTTGCACGACACCTATCATTCCACAGTGATCGGTGGTGGCGGATCTAATGAGTTGGGTATATCCTTTGGGTGTCATCGTAGTAGATGCGGACTACCGCAGTCGAGCAGACACGTGTAAAATTCACTCTAAAACCTGCACATACCACTCCTGTTTCGTTTAACGTGCAGGCAGAATGGATGCGCAATGGACGTAAACCATGTTTACAACCCACATACTTAATTGTAATAATTGAATAGGATATATCTGCATAAACCTGAACCGAAGATGGACAACCATGCATCGACAGTATATCTGGTTGAATGAGCATTTCGCCGAGTTCCTAAACCCAACGACCTTAGTTCCTACTGATTAAGTCCAAACCGAAGGCGCTCCAGCGCTTGAATACGACTGCAGTCGCACATCCATGAAGGAAGTCCTTCAGATGACGAGATAAATGAAGACAGCATTTGACAGGATTGTCCTCCGGCGGAAGTACGATATTAGCGCAACAGTCTACGACCAGGCTGGAACGATACTGTCATTGCGCCAGCCGTCCGAAAAAGCGATGAACTATGGCGCAATAACTTTTGTCTTAGCAGCTGCCTGAACACTGTCATACAACCACTCAGTCGTTCCCTTTAGTAGATCACGTTCGTGTATAAACAAGAGAGAATATGGCTTTTATATGGACCGGTGGTGCAGACCTGCACTTCTCGTCCTGTCAAATCTTGCAACAAAAATGTTATGTTTGATTAAAAACGATTCCCCGTGAGCCACCGAGTGTTTATCGACTGCCTACAACATCGCAGAGTTAGTTCATGAATCCCATAAACAGCGGAGGGTAAAAGGAAGTAAAAAGACGGTTGGCTACTGCTTTTTTGTTAACGATGGCAAACTGAGAACAGATTTTTTGAGAGTATCCGCTGCATTTAGTTGCGATTTGTTTTCTACACCAAAGCATCTAAAATCGAAGCGAGGGCAAAAGGCGCCCGAGAATCGAAAACACACGCCAAAGATATTTTTGAGAACGGCCGTCTCTAAACTTTTTAACAATGATATAAATGATATTAAACTTACGCATTCTGCGTCCACCCACTGTATGTTGATAGCAAGCAAAGTTGAGTCCTCACTCTTCCCGCTGTTCAAATCGACATAAGCGTCGAGCCCAGACAGGTTACCGGGTGATGCCTTGAAATGAATCGAAATATAGTAGGCATACTTGAGCAGCAATTCTCCATTCTTTACCTCGAGCGGACTTACTGCTCGATTCATAGACAACAACACGCAGCTGTTTTGTTAGGATGAGGAAGTGTAAAAACTTGTCGTCCTTTTTAGGTATTTTTACGGACGGCACAACCGTAGATTCTAAAAGTGTATCAATATAAAATATAAAAAAACCTATTCGAGTATAGTTTATGACAGTTGGACTCAGGAAGAACTCGTTTGCCACTAGAAGGGCGTCGTCAAAGTGAACCAAGAAGTAATCCTACAAATGTGAGATTATAACCTTAACAAACCCCGTAATCGAAACACCAAACAGTATTTGAAGTTTTCTTAAAAAATGTCAAATCATAATAAATTATACCTCTCCAAGAGAGTTCCAGGACTGCAGGAACGAAGAATCAATTGTAGCCATCCCCAAAGTGTCAGTGCCGCGCCAAACGCTGTCGAATCAAATGTTGATGTATTAAAACGCATAATTTTACTATGTGCCACATTCCCAAGAGTTTTCGCAATTAATCGTGGCATCAACCTTGTACTCATAAATTTATCTAGCATTATTGTGCATCATCCGTAAATACAGAAAATAAACATAGAGCTTGACGCCCTGGTCTGTTTTTGGCGGTGCTTTTTCGCAGAAATAACAGGTAAGAGTCGGGAATTTACGGAGGTATCATATAACCTTACAACATGTTTGATTGACAATTTCTTCAATTTTATTTACGATAAGTTCACTCATAATAAGACCTCTTCCACTTAAAAGCGCTCTAGAAAGGAAATGTTTGTGGTCAGGCAGTCAGTAGTGTGGGAACCAGAAAAACGTACTCTAGTATTGTACTCACTTAGAAAGACTGCGCACTTAGATACAAAAGTGGCTTGGCTGCCTTTAAGAACTGCTTCATTTTTTTCAGAAGTTTCAACCTAACGACTCAGGCATGTCAAAACTCATAAAAAATATATGCAGAAATTTGTAGAATCAAAATGGTCTCTTTCTCGTAGTTTATCTCTAAATAAATATGGGGCAAATACCACAATTTATATGCGCTTAGTACCAAATACAACCCTCCAATTTTATTCCCTATCGCGTGCGAATAACTGACACTATCAAGAAATTTACTTTAAAATGATTGGAATAACCTGTAATGGGCGTTAGCAACACTGCGGGAACCTGTGATCGCTGACTCATCATAATATGGCTGCAGTCACGTTGACTGCCCGCACCCTGTCTGGCGCGGCCTTCTTACGCGTCTAGGCTCGGCTGCGTCCACACCGCGGCCTAAGCCCTCGCTGTCCAACCAATCACCTCCAAAGACATTTCTCAAGAAAACTGATTTATTCGACATTTTCCAATACTTCTTACTCAAATCAGTCAGTATCAGTCAGTATATTTGGAGTAAATGACCGAAGCCCTT